CAAGTTTCTCTGATATTATTTTTATAAATTCTCTCTCAATATTCAAAGTAGTTTTAAGAAATGATATAAATCCAAAACAGGTAAAGTTTCTACATTTGTAGATAAAATTAACTGTATGAACTTGCTATAAGCCATTTGATTTGCATGACAGAATAATACAGGTAAAGTACAAGAGGTAAACTAACTTCACCTAATTCAATACTCACAAAAATTTTGCTAAGTCAGTCTCAAATGACAAGTTGTTCAAATAAAGTATTAGTCTTTCATCTTTCATGGTTCAAATGCAATTGGTAGCAATCATATGAAAGCAAACTTTCTTTTGATCTTCAAAATACGTGAAGGGCTTTTATCCACAATCGCTTTTCTAAGTGGAAAAATAAATTATAAATAATACTCAATTTATACCCCCCCCACACCCACACCCACCCCATTGAGTTTTGGGTAAATCCGGCTTTATACATATCCATTTTACTTATTTTTAATAGTTTTAAAAAATAATTGTAAGTATGGTATTTGAATATTTCATAATATCCACAATTTTAACTTAATAGTTAAAACAATCCATGAAATGTGTGGAACAATTTTGATTAATACTTTAAGGTTGAGAAAGCCAAAATCCAGCAGGATAAAACTTCTTCAAAATGATATAATTTGAGAGAAAACTAAGAAGTTTTTAATAAAATTATTTTACTATAACTCTTCCATTTATGGACCATAGATCCATAAAATAAATACAACAAAGCTCCAATAAAATTGGCATTGTACGACAAGATGCCATATTCACGTTAAAGTCTAATCTTATTACTGAATAGATTTAAAAAAAATATTTAACACATGGTAAAACAGAACCCATGCAAAAATGAGCCATATTATAAAAGGTTCTAATAAACTACAGACAAAGCACACAAAATAAAAATAAAATGGTCAAACCAGTAACAACTGGTCTAGGAAAGGAGCAAAGGAAGCACACTATTGGTATAGGATACAAAAGATTGGAAGGTGGACATAGCAAATTTATCATGTTTTATTAAGACTGATATTTGGGAAAAGGTAAATAAATTGTACTCTAAAAGATCTAAAGATTTGCTCCAATGAAGTAAGAGTTCATTAGGAAAATCTCTACAATTAAATAGTGAATTAGTGATAATTCACCTAAGGTTTGGGGCAGAAATTCATCTTTCCACCATCTATAATCTATATAAATTTACCAAAGAAGTTAGACTGGTTTTTTTTGGTTTCCACAGTACTACTCATAGGTAACTAGGTCTGTCAACAAAAAAGACCAAGTCTTTTTTTTTTTTTTTTTTTTCGGTGAGGAAGATTAGCCCTGAGCTAACATCTGATGCCAATCCTCCTCTATCTGCTGAGGAAGACTGGCCCTGGGCTAACATCTGTGCCCATCTTCTTCTACTTTATATGGGACGCCGCCACAGCATGGCTTGACAAGTGGTGCGTTGGTGCATGCCAGAGATCCAAACCTGCGAACCCAGGGCCGCTGAAGCAGAGCGCGTGCACTTAACCGCTACGCCATGGGGCTGGCCCAAAAGACCAAGTCTTAAGCAATCTGTTTGTCTGGTTGTTAGCACACATTTACGAAAGTAATAAAACTATATTCATTAAAAAAATATGATCCAGAATATTTAATAATCCAGACTAGCCTTTCCTACTGAAAAAATTAATGAGATTTTGTTCTCTTTTCAGCTGAAGAGAAAATGATCCCTTCTTTGAAATGTTTCCTTGTAATGATTTCCAGTACTACTCAAGAAGTAATACTTCCTTAAGAAGAGAGAATTTCTCTTTAAGAATTCTTCTTTAGGAATAAGATTGAGAGATTATTTTGCCTTTTCTCTTAGTTTAACAAAGAAATGCATTTAAATTATGTATTAAAATGTCCCCAATTTATTTGATGCTTAAGACACTTGGTAAGCACATGAGAAATGTGCTACAAAACTTTAGGCTATAGGAACCTTGAAAGCTGGAACAAAACTTTACCAGACTATGAACCATTATCACAACAGTTTTAAGTACGCTTCTTCAAAAAAGCAGTAAAACAAATTAAGTTAGCATTCCTACTATTTGTTTCTCAGGCTGAGCACATAACGTATTTCAATAAATCCTTTCATAATTTCACATTAGCAATTAGGCAGAAAGAACATGTTTTGTTGAAGAAATACTTAGTTCAAAGTGAAATGTTTCATTGCTAATACACTTCATGTATTCTGAATCTAAGCTACTCTACATAACTTGTATGCCTTAAAAATTTTAGTTCTCTTAAAATTCTACTCTCTTCCTCCCCTCCCTGCACAGAGTGATGGCATTCAATATTGTTAAAGATAAATTTTTGGTTTACTAGATGAAAAGGCATTTGTATTTAAGAGAAATAGTCCTCAGAGTCAATCTAACAACCCCATAGAAGGCCCTCAAATTCCAGTTTAAGAAACACGAATCAAGAGTACATCAGAGTAAAACCTATACATTATACATAAAAATACTATTATTGTCAAAAATGTATTATGTCAAGAATTTTATCAGCAGCATTTAAAAAACAGAAATTCATTAGACAATAAAAGACAAACATGGTAATGCAGTCAGATCAGCACATGACAACACATCATTTTTTATCTCCCATTCATGTAAAACTATGTTACCTGAATACCCGGCAATTTCCTAAAGATAACATGCTTTTTAAAAATTATTGGCTCCGAGGGGTAGGGGGAAATCTCTCCATCCTCTTACAGTTGAGAATCAACACCTGGCTCTACTTTCTTCCAGTAGTATTACATTTGTATGCTATTCTATAAGAAGCAACTCATTTCTCATTATAAAGCACCATTGACTATTTCATCCCATACAAAGGAAATAATTCTGAAAATTTCACAACAGGATTCCTGGGAAGGCACTAAAAGCTAACTAGTCAAAAGAAGAGCCACGACAGTTAGGAGACTTCTTTTTTATACTACAGGCTCCTTAATACTGTCCTCTTTGCTTATACCACTTAACCTCTTGATCATAAGCTTCCCAATGAATTAAATGCTGTTCAAATATAAATTAAGAAAGGAAAAGACAGGAAGGGACAAGCCCACAGCCTGACTGAGGAATGAGGCAGAGAAAATTTGCCTCCAAAGTAAGTGAATGTTATGACTCTGAGGAGGTAAGAGAACTAGGAGGAGCAAGAGAGTAAAGCAAGCACGGCTTGGATAGGATTTGGCTGTTGACTTTAAGGAAAAAAAGTAAGTTTCATTTTAATTTTCAGATTCAAAAAGTCTTAAAGGTATCTTTGGATAAATAAGCAAAGTAAATAGTTTCATATATTTTATTTTTTTAAAGCTCATCTGTAAGTTTTGAGCGTTCCTTATTTTACTCAAATAGTGAAGATGACAAAGATATTACCATTAATTCAGGCTATAAATTGACAACTTGTAAGTTAGATTTCACTTGAATTATATGTTATGGAAATAAACAAAAATGGGCAATGTTCTTCAAGTTCAGAAGTTGCACCTTGGAGAGAAGAGTCAATTAAATTACAAAGATTCAATGTCTAAAATCGAAATGATTTACTTATAATAAATTTGATATTAAAACATCATTCATGATGTTAAATCATAACTGTTAGTATGATCAGTTCTAATAATTCAGTAATTTTAATACTTAAGAGGAGCATTCCAGGAAAATTATCCTCATCTATAAGATATTTAGGAAAAAAATTGTTTTCCACTACTCTATCAGTGTTTTGTAAAGTTTTACAAAGTGATTTCATTATGAAGGCAAGTAAAACAGTAATCATTTTCTCCCAGCTCATTAACCAAAAAACAAACCATAAAAATCTTTAAAATGCTCTTATCCCTTAAGTAATCAAGACTGAAAATCACTTATCAAATAAATTCTCCAACGAAAATCACCCTATACCTTAAATCCCAACAGCAATGTCCTTATAATGGAAAAATAATCTATTTATTTCTCTTCACTCATGCAATGAACCTAGGAATGTTATTGAGGTGGTGACTAGACTGTGAATGTGAACAAAATTTTCATATCACTGGGATATTGGATGGTTTGAAAAGGAATGTACAAACAGACCTGCTGCTAGTCCAAAAGATGCCTTTTATGGGAATTAGAAAAGGCTGTCCTTTCAAGATACTTTATTGCCAAAAGTCAAAAAACTGTGATGATTAGCAATATTGTGATTGTACCAATGTAAACGACACTCTTGAGTTGTACATAATTATACCCAGAGTTCTCTCATGATACCTTATTCTATTACCTTCTTTTCTTATATATCTTAACTAAATGCACAATGTCAGAGCTAAGGTCCTTTTAAGCCAAAAAAAAAAAAAAAAAAAATCATAATAATAAAAAAAGGACGCTCAACAAATCTTCCTGTATCACAAAATGACCATTAAAGAAGATCATACTATATACCACTTACAACAACAATGATGATGATTAATACAACTTCAGTATTGGTCTTAATTCTCTCATAAGGCTGTCTGATTTTGAGACCATTAATATATGAACCTTGCTCTTTCAAATATAAATGGCACTTTTTAACTGACAGAATACAGAAAACTTAAAAATTCACATTAAGAATATACATGCATTGCTGATTGACATTACTATTTAGTGGTTAGAAAACAAAATCACTGGACATAATCTTTCCAATTCTAAACTTTTCAGATGAAGTATGGGCATAAGATCTTGGCAGCTTTCACAGAAAACCAGAGCTGAAAGTTGAAGCACTTCCAATATCCAGAAATTTATTTTATTAGCTGCATCAGAAAATCATTATCCCAGAAGTCAAGGCCAATAAATATTCTTCCTAACTGTGCAGAGATGAATATAATGAGCCATACCATCAGCAGACTATATTGCCAAATATTATGATTGTTTAACATCTTTAAAATTCCACAAATTCCTGGTGAGATAGACCCTCTAAAATTCAAGAATTAAAATTTACAAAAATAAATACCACTCTGACACTCAAGGGACATCTTCACTTTAAGGCCTTTGTCACAAATCTGAATCTTTATTGTTCTGAAATAAATGTTATAAACATAACTCAAAACAAAAACTTCAATATTCAGTCTCAGAGAGGTGTGGCTCAATGCCTATCACATGTAACGAGAAAACTTCCTTTAAAAACAAGGAAAAAAAAGTACTATGAGAAGTCTTTCATATGAATGAAAATGCACCCTTTGGATTTTTTCCCCTTATCTCATTAGCTTCTATACACGTGGGAATCAAAAGGTTTGCATTTTCTTCACAATAGTTCTTGCTATGATGTTTGACGGATTTTTTGCCACTCAACAAATTCATCAAGAAGAACAGGCCCTAGAAATAAAGAAACAATTTTTGTTAGAATTCAGTGAACTCATCTCTCCAACTATAAAACAAACTCCCCACAAGCTGTAATGATGACAGGGGACTGACCCTTCCCTTCTGCAGGTGTTCTGCTTCCAGCCTCCCTCTTCCACTTAATGGTGCTTTCTTAGCCTTTTCCTTTTTTGACATAAGGGACTTTCCACAATGGGTATTTGTAGCAACTTCCTTCTCAAGGTTTAAGTGTTGCATGAACTCTTCAATAACTAAGTCAATATTAACCTCTCTCTTTTTCTAATTAAATGTTTACTCAAAACACACATTAATATACACATCTGCAGGCCATATGTAACCCCTGGGCTGCCAGTTTGCTGCTGCAAGGTATTATTTCTAAAAATATTATTACATTTTATACCATTTTGTAGGGGAGGAAACAATATATGTAGGGAAAAATAAAGTTATCACTTCTTCAGTATTTTATTTCTTCAGTGTCACAGAAATAAGTCCATAATTTCAGTTTATGTTTATAGGAATGTACCTTTCCACGTAACCCTTCACAAGAGAAAAACAGTGCATGCAACCAAACTGGTGGTGGGACCTGAAAACTTACTTTATAGTTCTAGAGAATTAATTTGGCTTATCTAATTAATTTATCATTACTTCAAAGATCTGTTTTATGGCATTCTGGCCTTTCTATTGAAGAATATGGACAGACATTTTAACTTGAAAGACTGAAAAACTGTAAATATTTCATTACCTGTTTACACAATAATTTCAAAAGGAAGTCATTTTGACATTATTTGCCATATTGTGAATGGGTACTATGATATTACTTTTAAAGATTTTTCTATTGTAGCTGATGTTTTGCTTTCCTATCTTTAAAATAATGACTACATTTTTCTTCCATAGGAAAATGCCAGGAAAGGCAGGAATAAAGCAGAATTTTAGCTTTTAGATGCAGAAATTATTATTAAAATTTAGCTATAATATTCTGTTGCTGAGAAATTGAAAACATTTCATTTACTAGTACAGATTTTATAACATTGCTCAATCTAAGCTCTCTGTCTACCTTCTATACCTACCTTCTCCACACTTCCCACATGATTAAATAATAAAAGTTACTGTTAGGAAGTTTAAATCCTTTACCGCAATGCTACACAAATGCATGTTCTCATTTAACAGGTTTAAGAATTTTATTTTCATAGGAAAACATTACATAATACTTACAAGCACCATCTTCATCATAGTTACTAAGATCGGCATGGACTGTTCTGCTGAATTCTAATACGTTGTACCACTGATCTTTGTTCATAACACGATACTTTGATTGCTGTAGAAAATGATATAAATATTGAGATAACAAGACAAGCATTATTTATTAAGTCTTGACCTCAATAAATCTAGTTATAACATTTTTTTGTGATTTGGTCTTTTCCGAAACATTTATTCCTCTTTTAAAGATTTTATTTATTTATTTTTTTCCCTCCAAAGCCCCAGTAGATTGTTGTACGTCATAGTTGCACATCCCTCCAGTTGCTGTATGTGGGACGCAGCCTCAGCATGGCCGGAGAAGCAGTGCGTCGGCGCGCGCCCGGGATCCGAACCCAGGCTGCCAGCAGCGGAGCGTGCGCACCCAACCGCTAAGCCACGGGGCCGGCCCTATTCCTCTTTTAATTAAATTATTTGTATTTCTTAAAAGAATCCTCAGGGGCATATTTACATTTTAACATCATCCAATTTATTTTTTCCTTTATTTTTCATTCACTTTTGAAGAATAACAAGAGTATCAAGGGTACTAATAGTAAGGGTAAAACTCAATGAATTTTTACTTATATATATACTTCTGTAACCAACAAAGAGATCAAGATATACATCATTTCCTACATCCAGTAAGTACCCTCAATCTGCTTCCTAGTAATCATTTCTTTGCATGAGATTTATGTTTAGCTACATTTTGAAGTTGGCATCTTTAGAGGCAGTGGAAAGAGTATTGGCTTGGGTTCAGATCCTACTTCTGCCACTTAATTGAGAGAGCTTGGGAAAGCTACTTAATAACTTATACCCATTTCCTCACTTGCTAAAATGGGTATAAAATGTAATTCAAAGTGGTGTTATAAAGATTTAAAAAGATAATGTGTCAAACATTCTCCCCATAACAAGTGTTTGAAAATTTTTAGTTCTCTCAGCTTCCTTCAGAGGTGAATATTTTTACATTCAGTTATATTTATTTTTGCCCAAAGCTGCTAATAGGAGGAAGATTAATAACATCCATCAAAAACATCTACGCCATTAGGCTTAAAGATTTAGATGTGCAGAAACCCCATTCACATATGACTTTTTCATACTATTGTCTCCTATCACAAGTTTTAAACAAAACTACTCTGGGAAACTTGCTACCATAAACAATCAACTTTATGAGACGTTATTTTCAAATCAAAAGGCAAAAGCATTTGTATTCAAGAAAAGGTGAGAAGTATACCAAAAAAACTAAAATTGGAAAGGCATAAAAACAAATAGAAAACCAAAGAAAGCAATAGAAAAAAAGGACAGTATCTTCTTAAAACCACTGCCTATGGTAGGTGCTATGACAAACCTTATAAATTCAGCATACTTTTTTTCAGTAATTAGTACACCTAAGTACAATATTATAGACATTCTCATATTTGTGGACATAAAATATTAAAAGCTTTATTCTAATTCTTTAGATTGAGCCTAAATGAAAAGGAAAGTTTTATTACTTTACTGGTTCTCTTATGTGGATTTCAGCCTTAGATGCTGTGTTGCAGAAAGAAACCTGACTTACAAGCTTGAGATTTGTGCACTAGCATCAATTCTCTCTTGCCAAAAGACCAAGAAACTAATTTTGCATGAAGAATGCCTATGCTAAAATATATTTCTTGAAGGTTTCTTTTTTTATGGGAGGGATGCAAGGGGTGAAATCAAAATATGGTATGGACAGAATATATTAATGAACATAAACACATGTCTAAAAGCGATAGCAGATACGTACACTTTTTTTTTGGTCAGGAAGATTGTCCCTGAGCCAATCTTCCTCTATTTTGTATGTGGGACGTCACCACAGCATGGCTTGATGAGCAGTGTAGGTCTGCGCCTGGGATCTGAACCTGCGAACCCTGGGCTGCTGAAGCAGAGCGCGTGAACTTAACTACTACGCCACCAGGCTGGCCCCAGATATGTACACATTTTAATAGAAATTTTCTACTACTTAAGCAGATATTTTAAAAAGCACGGTATTAAAAATCTGTTTTTCCTCAAAGGTATATTTTTGATCAGATTAACTTTTAAAACAAAATTTTCAAAGTGAAAAAACATACATACCTCCAAGTACTGGTAAAATACTGAAAACAGTGGCCATGTCCTCCCAAGCAGAAGAGCTAACATAGATTTAGCAGTATCAATATCAAGGCTTCTCTGATCTTTATCCTAAAACATAAGTAAAAAATTTTTCCTAAGTGTGGTCTCAAGATTAAAAAAATACCAAAATTACAAAACATGGAAATTGCACCTACCCTTGCAAAATCAAAGGCATATCTGTAGATATTCTTAAATGAAGAAATATCATTCAACTGTGAGCGCAAAAAGTCAAATTTGTTCTGTAACTTTTCTGTGCAGTCACACCTTAAATTAAAAAAAAAATCAAACATTATATAATCAAGAAAGTTAAATAAAGCATCTTCAGGAGGTTAGAAGGAACACATTAAGAAAAAAGTGAGCTCATTTATGAAGTTAATTTAGGTTTAAAATTCTCTGATTCACAAATTTAGAGTAACAGACAAACTTGTTGTCTTGTCTCTACTAATGCAATAAAAAAGGAAAAAGAAAAAAAAAAACCTGGCAATCAATGACTCCAATGACTTTTCTTTAAAAAAAAATACAACTCAATCAAAAAAGGCCAATAAAATCACAAATAGCTCTTAAAAAGAGATGCATTAAATGTGCTTTTATCATATATAAAGTTAAAAAGATGGCGAAGTAAATGAAATTAATCAGGCCTCTGTCACTTATTTCATTGGAAAGTTCTTATAGCAGGATACAACACAGAGGAAATACATACATATTAGTGGTTCAGTCACAAATTCAGATCCCTACATTTTTAGTGAACAAAAAATCAAGGCAAATCAGTTGCAAGACCTAACTTCAAATACGGCACATAAGGAAAAGAACACAAATTATACGTTATTTCTAAAGATAAGACATATAAGAAGATAAATAGATGGAATGCTCAATCTTTACTGGCCTTCTGACTCTCACTAGGTTGATATATTCCACTATTCAGCAAGAAGCGTGGCAGACAAAGCCTTTCACAATTGACGCAAATCTCCAGGCTCATCTCCTGCCAGGTCCCAATATCCTTACTGTGCTCTAGTTATATTTCACTTACCACTCCCAAATGCCACAGCTATGCTTTAGCATATATTATTTCCTCTACTTGAAATGTTATTCCCTCCAACATTTTGACAAAATATTATTCATCAAAATCTAACTCACTTTTTGCTGTCCATGAGAGACCATTTGACACGCTCAATCAAATTAGTTGTGCCATCCACTGTGACCCACAACATTTCTGCTCAAAAAATGTTAGTACTCATCATGTACTATAGACACCAAGCATTCTCAGATTTAACTAAGACTTTTACTATTCTAAATCAACAATGTGACTTGTAGTAACAATTCTATTAAGGTATAAATATTTTGGATCAATTTATAATGTTGCTTAAATCTTACATTCCTAGAGTAAGTTAAATTTGGTCATGTTACCTGCTGTATATATCGCTAGACTTTTTTTGCAATGTTCATACGTGAGACTGGCTTGTAAATTTCATTCTTTCACATTCTCTTTGCTAGTTTTGACAAGCTTATAGCAAAAGCTTCCCAAAAATGAAATGAGAATTATTATCCTTTTTTCTGTTTTCTGAAAAGTTTACTGCACACTGGAATTAGCATTTGTTCAAACTCAGCTGAAAAACCACCTGGGCCTTTGTATTGAGAAAAGGAAAGACTTTTAACTACTAAATCAGCATTTCTAATGGTTATAGGACCATTCAGATTTTCTATTTCTTTTTGAATCAGTTTTGGTCATTTATATACTTTTATGATAATTTATTTCACATATAATTTTATTTAAATATGTCAATTAAAATTATAATATTTTCTAATATGCATTATTATGTATTTTTGCCTTTTGTTTTTCTTGACTATTTTGCCAGAATTTCTTAATTCTCTCAATTGTACCTTTGCTTTCTATTTTAATGATGCCTGGACATCTTTTTATCTCCTTTCTTCTTCTTGTTTGGGTTGATACCTTTCCCTAACTTCTTAAATTAGCTACTAGTTCATTAAGTTTCAAGCTGTTTTTCTGTTTTACTATAACATTTAAGACTATAATTTCCCTCGAAGTACAATCTGAGCTTCAGCCACAGTTTTGATAGCCAGCCCTGGTGGTCCAGTGACTAAGATTCGGAGCTCTCACTGCTGCGACCCAGGTTTGTTTCCTGGTCAGGGAACCACATCACCATCTGTCAGTTGTCATACTGTGGCAGCTGCATGTTGCTGTGTTGCTGAAAGCCCTGCCGCTGGTATTTCAAATACCAGCAGGGTCACCCATGATGGATAAGTATCAGTGGACAAACTAGGAAGAAGGACCCATTTCTGAAAAAACCGGACATGAAAACCCTATGAATAGCACTGGAGCACTGGCTGATATAGTGCCGGAAGCGAGAGGATGGTGCAGAAAGACGAGGGAGAGTTCTGCTCTGCTGTACACAGGATCACCAGAAACTGAAATCAACTCTACCAGCACTAACAATAAACCAAAACAGTTTTGATAAGTATTATTGCTTTGTTTATTCACTTGTAAAGGATGCCTTGATAAGAGTGGTTTTGGAAGAGTGGTAGGGATAAAAGTCTTACTAGAATAGGTTTAAGAGAGAATGAGAGAGGAACTAGAGAAAATAAGTAAAATGCTTTCAGAGAGTTTGGTTCTAAAAGGAAGCAGAAAAAAGAGGCACTAACTAAAGAGGGATGGGGGGTAGGGCAGAAGGTTTGCTTTTTTATTAATATATATAAGAAGTAACTTCTGCTTCCAGGACGCAGAAGTAAATGTACTTTTCCCTATCTGCCCTGCTAATTCAACCAAAAGCCCTGGACATTAGACATAAACATAAGAAGACTGAAAGAACTCTGAAAGACTCTGAGGAACAATACAGGAGTGAGTCCCCTGGGTTTTCTTCTTGCCTTGTCTATCCCAGACTTGGAGCTGAAGGAGTCAGCAAACCAGAAATGCCAATGGGGCAGACAAAAAATATCCCAATAAAAGCCTGCTCTCCCTCTAGCCAAAAGCAAGCAGCCTAGCAAGACAGAAAATTTTTAGAAAAAACACTCTTCTCCAGTCAAACACCACAGAAAAAACTGTGACTCAAACCCCATCAATGCCAGCAAAGGCCAAATGGGATCTGAATGGTCCACCCTCACCAGGATATAAGGAGGTCTCCCTCTCAACTCCTGCAGTGTCACTGGAAAGCACATGGGGAACACGAACTCCCGTTCCGACCAGGTAGTAACGAGCAGCCAATACTCCTCAGCCCTTGGGTAGTGTCAGAGGAGGCCTTGTGAAGAGTCAGGGCTTTTACCATCACTGCAGCAACAGGCCACCACCCTAGCAAGGTCAGTGGATACTTTGTAGGGAACAAAAAGGTATCAGTGGAAGCCTTTTGATGACGTAGAACTCTCACACTTGCCAACAGTAATGAGAACTTCCCTCCTCAGATGTCAATGGATGCAGAGTGGGTAACTTCAATTTCAACCTGTACGTGAAAGTAATGAGGCAGTGACCCCCAATTCTCCCGCCAAAGTTGTGTCAGAGGAAGCTAGCTAAAACACAAGGTTTAAATAAGATCCAGAGTTTCATAACATAATACTCAGAATTTCCCATACCAAGAACCAAAGTCTCAAAAGGATGCAAAAAGACAATCAACAGATGCAAACACCAAAATGATAGAGATGTTTAGAATTATTTGACAGATTTTAAAGAAGCTATTATAAAATTGCTTCAATAAGCAATAATGAACAAAATAAAACAAATGAAAAGATAGAAAGTCTCAGTAAAAAAATAGAAAGTCTAAGGAAAAAGAAAGAACATATAAAAAGAACCAAATGAAAATTTTTGACTTGTAAAATACAGGGCAGACTTAAACCATAATGGATCAATAATTACATTAAATGTAAGTAGTCTAAATACACCAATTAGAAGACAGGGATTGACACACTGGATTAAAAAAAAAGAAGAAGAAAAGAAAAATGACCCAACTGTATGTTACCTACAAAGGAACTGACTTTAAATATAACAATATAGACAGACTGAAAGTAAAAGAATAGAACATGAGGTATCCTGGAAACATTATAAGAAACATCATAAGAAAGGAGGAGTGGCTATATTAATATGAGCTACTGTAGAAATCAGTGCAAAGAAAATAATCAGAACAGACAGAAACACTACATAATGATAAAATGGTCAATCCACCAAGATGACATAACAATCCTAAATGTGTATGTACCAAAGAAAAGAGCTGCAAAATATGTGAAGCAAAAACTTACAGAACTGAAAGGAGAAATAAACAAATCCACAATTATAGTTAGAGATTTCAACACCCCTCTCTCAGCAATTGATAGAACAACTACACAGAACGTTAGTAAACATATAGAAGAATTCAACAACATCGTCAATCAACAGGATCAAATTGACATTAACAGAACATTCCAATCAATGACAACAAAATACATATTCTTTTCAAGTGCCCACAGAATGTAAACCAAGGCAGACCATATTCTGAGCCATAAAAATAAACCTTGACAGATTCTCACAAAGAATATGATCTCTGACCACAATGACACCAAAGCAGAAATAACAGGAAGATAACAGCAAAATCTCCAAACACTTAGAAACTAAACAGCAAACTCCTCAATAACCCATGAGTAAGACAAGTCTCAGTGGAAACCAGAAAACATATTGAACTGAATGAAAATAAAAACATATCAAATTTCGCGAGACACAAAGTAGTGTTGAGAGGGAAATTTATAGCACTAAACGTAAACATCAGAAAAGAGAAAAAGTCTCAATCAAGAACCTAAGCTCCTAAAAGCAACTAGAAGGATGTGCAACTATGACACACAACTATCTACTGGGGCTTTGGGGGCAAAAAAAAAGGAGGAGGATTGGCAATAGATGTTAGCTCAGAGCCGGTCTTCCTCAGCAAAAAGAGGAGCATTAGCATGGATGTTAGCTCAGGGCTGATCTTCCTCACCAAAAGAAAAAAAAAAAAAAAAAAAAAAAGAATCTAAGTTCCTAGGGGCCAGCCTGGTGGTGTAGCAGTTAAGCGGTTAAGCACACTCTGCTGCGGTGGCCCGGGGTTTGGATCCCAGGCACGCACCAACACACCGCCTGTCAAGCCACCCTGTGGCAGCATCCCATGTAAAGCAGAGGAAGATGGGCACAGATGTTAGCCCAGGGCTAGTCTCCCTCAGCAAAAAGAGGAGGATTGGCGACAGATGCTAGCTCAGGGCTAATCCTTCCCACAAAAAAAACCCAAAAAACAAAAAAGAATCTAAGCTCCTATCTTTAG